GTTAATCAGTTAGTATCCTTTGTGCCTTCTTTGTGTCAGACACTGTGCTAGGAGCTGGAGAAACAAATGCAGTGACTGGAACAATTTAGAGTACTAAAGGAACTTACATTTTAGTGGGGGAGACAACAAAGATATCTATCTACATTTAGATATATGTTTATATGTAATAAGTATAGAGAGAATTAGTGAAAAAATAAATACAAAGTAGTTTGAGAGGGAGCAGCTAGGTGGCACCATAGATAGAGTGCCAGGCCTGGAGTCAGGAATCTTATGAGTTCAAATTTGGCCTCAGACACTTACTAGTTATGTGCCTATGGGCCAGTTACTTAATCCTGTTTGCCTCAGTTTCCTCACCATCTGTAAAGTAGGCTAGAGAAGGAAATGGCAAACCGCTCCAGTATCTATGCCAAGAAAACCCCAAATGGGATCACAAAGAGTTGGACTCAACTGAAAAACAACGAAGTTTGAGAGGGAAGGTACTTGCATTGACGGTATGCTTCACGTAGAAGGTGGTACTTGAGCTGTATCTTGAAGGAATGAAAGAATTTTGTGAGGTGAAGGTTAGGAGGGATGCATTCTAGATATGACACATAAAGATGGGAGATGTGTTATGTGTGAGGAACGGAGAGAAGGCTAATTGGATTGAATTTCAGAAGGTGGGAAAGGGAATTATATGGGGAAAAAATAGGTTGGGGTCAGATTGTCAAGTGCTTTAAAAGTTAAATGAGGAGCATGTATTTGATTCTAAAGCCAATAAGAAGCTGTCTCCTGTTCTTCTTCAGTCATTTGGTGACTCCATGGACCATAGCACACCAGGCTCTTCTATCCTCCACTCTCTCTCATAATTTGTCCAAGTTCATGTTAGTTGTTTCCATGATGCTATCTATCCATCTCATGCTCTGCCATCCCCTTTTCCTTTTGCTTTCGGTCTTTCCCAACACCAAGGTCCTTCCCTATAAACTGTCTATTTTAGCCAGGCTAACCCCTTCATTGTCCCTTCTCTCTCTGTAATAATTATTTTACTGTTGTCATCATCAACAAACATTTTTTGTTCTTTTATGTGAGATAATTTATCCTATTCTACCCGTCCCTTTCTCATTCTCCCTGTACAATCCTCTCTTATCCCTTAATTTTATTTTTTAGATATCATTCCTTCATGTTCAACTCACACCTGTCCCCTCTGTCTATATATATTCCCTCCTACTACCCTAATACTGAGAAAGGTCTCATGGAGTTACAAATATCATTTTTCCATGTAGGAATTGAAACAGTTCAACTTTAATAAGTCTCTTATGATTTCTCTTTCCTGTTTAGTTTTTCATACTTCTCTTGAGTCTTGTATTTGAAAGTCAGATTTTCTGTTCAGCTCTGGTCTTTTCATCAAGAATGCTTGAAAATCCTCTATTTCACTGAATATTCATTTTTCCCCCTGAAGGATTATATTCAGTTTTGCTGGGTAAGTGATTCTTGGTTGTAATCCTATCTCCTTTGGAATATTCCTCTGGAATATATTCTAAGCCTTCCAATCCCTTAATGTAGAAGCTGCTAAATCTTGTGCTGTCAAGATTGTGTTTCCACAATACTTGAATTGTTTCTTTCTGACTGCTTGCAATATTTTCTCCTTGACCTGGGAACTCTGGAATTTGGCTACAATATTCCTAGGAGTTTTCCTTTGGCGATCTCTTTCAGGTGGTGATTGGTGGATTCTTTCAATTTCTATTTTACCCTCTGGTTCTGGAATATCCTTGATAATTTCTTGAAAAATTATATCTAGGCTCTTTTTTTGATCACGGCTTTCAGGTAGTCCAATAATTTTTAAATTCTTTCTCCTGGATCTGTTTTCCAGATCAGTTGTTTTTCCAGTGAGATATTTTACATTATCTTCTATTTTTTTCATTCTTTTGATTTTGTTTTATAATGTCTTGATTTCTCACAGAGTTATTAGCTTCCATTTGCTCCATTCTAATTTTTAAGGACTTAGTTTCTTCAGTGAACTTTTGGACTTCATTTTCCATTTGGCTAATTCAAGGGGAGGACATTTCAAGCACAAAGAATAACATGAGCAGTCTTATAGGGTGGAGAAATCACATCAGAAATCCCATTATGTTCCAAAGCCTGAGGGCATTCAAGTTTGTCTGAAATATATGGTATATGGTAGAAAATGATAGGATGTTAAGGCTGGAAAGGAAGGGAATTGCTAGACTATGGAAGGCCTTGAATGCCAGGCAAAAAAGTACGAATTTTATTCAGTAAGTTATCGTGAGCTACTGATAAAGTGGGAAGAACTCTGGCATTCTCTGGAGTCAGAGGAACTGGGTTCAAAATCTACTTCCACTACCCGTATGACTTCAGGTAAATCACTTAGCCTCCCTGGACCTCTCTTTTCTCATCTGTAAAACAAAGCCATTGGACTCGATAAGTTTGCCTCTGAGCTTTGTCCTTTCAAGCTCTAAAGCTATCATCCTATGACCAAATCTGTGTGTAAGAAAGATTAGTCCAGCGGGGGTACATATGAGGGATTAGTCAGGGGAGGAAAAAGAGAAAAGTCAGGAAGGCCATCAGTTTAGGCCTATAGTAGAATGGTAGGTCTCAAACTGAAGAGTAATGATTTAGGTAGTAGAAGAAATGCTGAGTTTGGTTTTAGACATGTATTTTGAAATGATAGATAGGATATCAATGTGGAGTTATCCAGAAGACAGAATTTGAAGGATAAAATTAAGGATAGAGATCTAGGCCATAGAGGTAGAATTGGGGGACACATTTTCATAGCGATCATTGAAGCCATGGAAATGATGATATTTGTGAAGGAGAGAGTAGAGAGTACAAAGATTGAGAATTGATACTTGAGTTGCACCTTCATTTTTGGAGTGTAAGAAAGAAGTAGAAGTAGATAGTAAGTTATCTGAGAGATATTAAAAGATAGTGTAACATAGGAGAAACCAAGAGAAGATGGAATTTCAAGAAAGGAGCTTAATGGAAATAAATATTTATGGAAATAAAAGAAAATGAAGACTGAGAAGAGGCTTTGGAATTTGGCAATCTGGTGTTTAGGGGAAGAGGGGGAAAGGGAATAAGCATTTGTTAAGTGCCCACTATGTACCGGGGCATCTAGGTGGCATAGTATATAGAGAGCTGGGCCTGGAGTCAGGAAGATCTGAGTTCAAATGAGGCCTCAGATGCTTGCCATGGGCAACTCACTTAACTCTGTTTGCCTCAGTTTCCACATCTCTAAAATGAGCTGGAGAAGGAAGGACAAACTATTCTAGTATCTTTGTCAAAGAAAACCCCAGAAGGGGTCACAAAGATTCAGACATGACTGAAGACGATTAAACAAAATTCTATGTGCCAGATACTATACTGAGCACTTTAGAAATATCTTATTTGATGCTTACAACAACCCTAGGAGGAAAGTGCAATTATAACCGAGATAAGCAGAGATTAAGTTACTTGCCCAGGATCGCATAGCTAGGAAGTATCTGAAGCTGGATTTGAACTCAAGTCAGGACCAGTGCAGTATCCATCCACCTAACTGCCATTGTGACATTGACATAGTGACGTAGAAAAGAAAAATTGGGGGACCATGGCAGGCATAGAAGTTAGGAGTGAGGTGGGTAGCAAAGAAATAGAAGCAGAAAATTTGGATTACTCAGGAGAGTTTAGATACTGTGGAAACTACTGGATTTGCGATCAGAGGTCCTTGATTGGAATCCCTGATCTACCACTACCAATGCAAATTTGCACTTAATTTCCCCATATTTTACTTTTCTTGTCTGTCAAATGTAAGAGTTGGTGGGGCAGCTGGGTGGCACAGTGGATAGAGCTCCAACCCTGGAGTCAGGAGGACCTGAGTTCAAATGTGACCTCAGACACATAACACTATGTGTGTGACTGTGGGCAAGTCATTTAACCCCAGTTGCCTCACCAAAACAAAAAACAAAAAACATGTAAGAGTTGCACTGTAAGATTTATAAGATTTCTTCCAGCTCAAAATCTATGATCCTATGAAAGAGAAAGGGAAAAGATGGTAGCTTGAGAGAAATGAAAAGGTTAAGGGGGGGGGATTTTTTCTTTCTGTTTTTTAAGGTAGAGGGTTTGAGAAGAGGAAATCAGTCATTGAAAGGGAAATATTGAAGATGCAAGAGAAAGAGATGACAGTTACTAGAGGAAATGAAAGTGAATATAATCATGAGGTTATGTGTAAGGCATTTATCTCAGACATAGAAATGGATTAAAAAATGTTCAAGTATGGGTAGTAGGCGTTTGGATTTAAGAGGTGGTCATAGGGAAGAGGTGGGAAAGGGAATAAGCATTTATTAAGTGCCTACCATGTGTCAGGCACTGTGCTAATAAGCACTTTACAAATATCTCATTTGATCCTTACAACAACCCTGGACATTTTATAGATAAATTTCAAGGAATGGAGATGAGAGTGCTCAAGTAGGTTCTTCACTCTTCATAAAATGGAAAACAAGGCCATCCGTTGAGAATTGTGTAGGGTGTGGGGATGTGGAATGGTTTAAGGAAGGAAGAATTTGGGGGAGAGCTATGGAACAGGTTCCACCCACATTGATCTTTCTCTATTTTGACATCTTTTAGCATTTGTTTTCTGTTATCGCTTACTTTGGCACTTAATCACATAGGCACATGCATTGTCATTAGTTAATGCTTTGTCTTGAATGTGGAGACTGTCTTGTCCTTAGTGTTTATACCCTGTAGCACGATATATAGTAGTTGTTGGAATTAATATTGGGGATTAAGTTGAATAACATGTTTATATATGCCTCTATTACCTGTCAAAATAAGTAAAGTTGATTTGAATGGATAAATTGAAAATTTCTCTGAAGGAGAATACTTAGAAATTAATGAATTGGATTTAATAGAAATTTTATTTTCAAAGTTAAGAGGATGAAGTCAGTACTTTTAAATGGTTTGGTAAATAGGTTCATTGACAGCTTTATTGTATTGAGTGTTTTCAGTATGTTGAATGTTTTACTCCTTAGGTTCAAACAAAGAAAGAGGAACCTCTACCGTCAGCAGTGAGCCAAAGCATTCCAACATTTTATTTTCCTAGAGGATGTCCAAAAGAAAAAGTGAATATAGATGCTGTAATTACCAAGATAGAAAAAACATTTTCTCAGTTTCCAAATGAGAGAGCAACTTTAGAAGATATGGGTAAAGTTGCAAAGGTAAGATTATATGACTGTATAAAATGCTTATTACAATTCATTGTTGGTTATTTTTCCTCTGCAGATACCTAATACTGTGTGAGTATTTAGATGTTGATAAAAGTTAGGTTTCTAATTCTAAATAATTTCCGATTTTTAAAAATTCATGTAAATATGAACTTTCATTCTTTCTAGAAACATTTGTTAAGGACTTATTATGTGTAATGCAAAGATAAACATGGCAGTGCCTTAGATTAGTGTGAGAAAATATCAGCTGTGTTCTTTATTTGTCTTCAGTCCAAAACTAAAAGGTAACTTCAGGAAAGATCTGTTAAAAATATAAGCATATTAGGTATTATGGCATGACCATAGGAAAATGGTAGTTTTAAGTGTTTTTCATATGACTAAATTTTTAAAAAATATTTTCTTCTTGGAGAGAAGGAAAGAAAAAAAATTCCCTAGTATTCTTAGAATATAAGTTACTTAAGAACTTTTTCCTTATGTTAAACATCACATTTTGTTTAGTAAACTTAAGTTTTTCTTTTAGGAACAATAAAAGCAGTAGTTCAAGTATCTCCAGTTCTTAATTTATGATCTGTTCTTTCTTTGGTCTCACCATGATCTCCGTTCCTCCTGTTCCTCAATTCTTTACCAGGCCAAAACGTCTATGCTGGCTGCACCTTCCTTCCTTCCCTATCTTGACCTTTTGGTGAACCAGTCCAGTTGTACACTTTCCTCTGTTCTCTAATCTCTTGCCCACCTTGTCCTATCATTGGTCAAGCCTTGCCAAACCCCAGTGTTAGGTTATTCCCACCATTTATGTCCTTTACTTCTCTTCACATACTATTGAAGAGAGCTGAAAATCATGAGATCATGGTGATTGGGGCCACTACAGATAACATTTGTTGTCTGATTTCAGTTGTCACTCATTGCAACAATATACTCACTGTACTCCTTATTCAAATTGATATTCCATTTTCCACAGTGAGTATTCCAAACATCATCCAAATCCTTTAGGTCACTTGTTCTTTTGATTCTTCTACTGTGGTAGTCTAGTAAACTCTAAGTTCTTTGAGGCTTTTTTCATTTTTTATCTTGTATCTCCAGCACTTAGTACTTAGCATATGCTTTGCATTTTATTAATCAATCAACTAACATTTATTGTCTACCTTATTCTTTTTTTTTTCTTTTTTAGCTAGGCAGTGGGGTTAAGTGACTTGCCCAGAGTCACACAGCTAGTAAGTGTTATGTGTCTGAGGCCAGATTTGAGCTCAGGTCCTTCTGAATCCAGGGCCGGTGCTGTATCCACTGCACCACCTAGCTGTCCCCTATTGTCTACCTGATTCAATGTATTGTGCTAAATACTAGGGATACAGGAAGAAAACAACTGTTTTGCTTTTTTTGTTTTGTTTTTTTGGTGAGGCAACTGGGGTTAAGTGACTTGCCCAGGGTCACACAGCTATTAAGTGTCAAATGTCTGAGGTCAGATTCAAACTCAGGTCCTCCTGACTCCAAAGCTGGAGCTCTATCCTGTGCGCCACATAGCTGCCCCAAGAAAACAGTTCTTATCCCCAAAGAGCTTTCATTCTGTTGGGGGAAACAACATATAACATGAACTATCAGAGGAGGAAGCTTAATTTACTAGCCTGAGGTAAATGCTGCAAATATTACTATTCACATTTTAGAGATGAGGAAATTAAAGCTGAGAGTGGTCAAGTCACTTGGCTAGTAAAGAACAATAACAATGACAACAACAATAATCATAATAGCTAGCATTTATAAAGTGCTTTAAGATCTGAAAAATGCATTACATATATTATGTCTTCTGAAGCAGATTTTGAATACAGGACATCCTGATTTCAAGCTCAGGGCTCAAAAGTGCTACCTTACAGAGCTGTGTAGTAGCCATTCAGTTTGATAGATTTTTAGAAAGTTTTCCATCACATTTGGAAAGGCATCAGATTTCTGTATTGTTATCAAAGCAAACAAATAGCTATAGTACCTCTCAGTACAGATGTAATTTAGTCATTGAATTCACAAGCATTTAAGCATCACAAGGAAAGTATTGGTGTTAAAAAATATGGGGTTTTATGGCAAGGAGTAGCTTGGGATCAATTAGCTTCTCAAATGGACTACAGCCTGATCTGCTTCTGTTCAATTTTGGTCCCAGCTCATTTCTCATCTTCAGTGCTTACCTGAAATAGATGATGCCAGTGAACTAGCTCAATGGGCTTGCTATTCAGTTTTATGGTATAGTCTAGTCAATATGCATCCTTTATCCTTTTGGCTTTTCCCATATGGATTACTTAGTGACTAAGTGTTAGTCAGTCTCTTGAATAGCTGTATCTCTCATATTCTGGCTCTTGATGCTGTCAGCAAAGTATCATTCACAGACAGGAACATCTGAAGAACTTCCCCATCTCCAGAGAATCCCTTTTCCATAACAACAGAAACAGAAACAACATCTATTTAAATAGTACTTTAAGATTGGCAAAGTTCTTTCCATTTTCTTTTGAATTTTGTGCGTCCTCCATGACCATGGCAGACACTTTTAGTGGACATGTCTCCCTGCTTTATGCCTTATTTAATATTTACAATTGAAAAACAACTTGACAAATTGTGTCTGAAGTTTCACCTGTCAAGGAATATTGTATAATCCATTGCAGATGCTTTGCAGAGTAGAGCCTTTGAATTTGCGCCCTATGGTATTAGGTGAAAAGGGGTATATAGTTTGTGTCACCTTATCATCAATCTGTTTATCATATTATTTAATTGAAATGAATGAATTTGCACCATCTATTGGCCTAAAATTTCATTTATATTCCTCATATTTTTTTATAGGCCTGTGGATGTCCTCTCTACTGGAAAGGGCCATTGTTTTATGGTGCTGGGGGAGAGCGAACTGGATATGTGTCTGTTCATAAGTTTATTGCAATGTGGAGAAAGTAAGTAGTTATTTTTGGTGACAGAGAATGGTGGGTTATTTCATTAGAGGAGGAACTTGATGATGTAGTTAGGCTAACATTGGCTATTACAACAGGAAGTATTTGAATATAATGTTACAGTCTAAATATTACACATCTTCATTTAAACAGAAGACAATAGTTTAAAATTAGTGATATCTTAATAGGCATATATTTATCATATGTTCTCATTAACTAGACATGTGTTATCTATATCCTGTATAGGACTACATAGGTCCCTTGTTTATATTGTGTTTATGAAGAGATAGGAATGATATTCTAGATTTTACCAATTTGATACCCTGCATTTTATCTATTTTAGAATCCTTCAGAATTGCCATGATGATGCTGCAAAGTTCATTCATCTTTTAATGAATCCTGGATGCAACTATTTGGTTCAGGAAGACTTCATTCCATTTTTACAAGTAAGTTACATGAACATTTAAATTATGTCATTTCGTATAGCTTTTGGGATTGTCTCTCATTGTGTTTTGTAGAAATTTATTTTAAAGAATTCTAGATGTCAGGAAAAATCACATGATTATCTCAATAAATGCAGAAAAAGCTTTTGACAAAAAAACAGCACTCATTTCTTTTTAAAACACTAGAAAGCATAGGAATAAATGGAGCTTTCCTTAAAACAATAAGTAGTATCTATCTAACCATCAGCAAGCATTATCTTTAATAGGAATAAGCTAGATGCCGTCCCAATAAAATCAGGTGTGAAGCAAGGATGTCCATTATCACCACTATTATTCAGTATTGTATTAGAAATGCTAGTTATGGCAATAAGACCAAAAAAAAAACCAAATTGAAGTAATTAGAATAGGCAATGAAGAAACAAAATCATCATTCTTTGCAGATAATATGATTGTATACTTACAGAATCAGCTAAAAAACTAGTTGAAACAATTAACAAATTTAGCAAAGTTGCAGGATATAAAATTCACGTAAATTGTCATCACTTCTATATGTTACCAACAAAGTCCAACAGAGAGAGATAGAAAGAGAAATTCCATTTAAAATAACTAGACAGTATAAAATACTTGAGAGTCTACCTGCCAAAAAAATCCCAGGAACTATATTAATACAATTACAAAGTATTTTTCACATAAATAAAGACATAAATAAAAAATTTTAGTGATTTTTTGGGGGATACTTTGATTTTTTAAAAATGTATATTATAGATATTTTGAATTGATAAGGTCATTTGAATTTTAAAGGTAAAAAATGGAGATAAGATAAATATGTGGAAATGCTTACAAAACAGGCAATTATTGTGGCATATTTTATGGACAATAGATTTTTTTCATAGCAGTATAACAGTATGACAATGTTCATTTTCTTAATATTATTTTGACTTCCTGTTTATTATTTTAAAAATTCTCTGTGAACTGATTGTTTTGTTATAACAACCAAGTTAAATATAAGTCTTGTTTGGAGAGTTTTGCTTCCCCTTTCTTATTTAATATGGTGCATTTCACGTAACTGTTCTTATGCTTTTGTAAAAATCATGAGGTGATTAGGGCCCAAAACAAGGTGGTAGCTAAGTAAGTTGAGAAAGAAAGAGTATACCAGAGATGATGTGGAAGTAGAAATAATAGGACAATAATGTATTGGTTGTGTGGGGTATATACAAGTGAGGAGTCATGGATGACACTGAAGTTATGAGCCTGAGTAACTGGGAAGATGGTGGTGCCCTTGCATGGAATGGGAAAATTGGGAAAAGGGGAGGGTTTTATAATAATAATTAATTTTTATATATTTATAATAAATAATGAATTTTTTGAACATGTTGAGTTTGAAATGTCTTCAGGGCATTCTAGTTAGAGATGTCCAAAAGGCAGCTGGTGATACAGGACCACTACTCAAGAGAGCTGAATATATTTAGGAGGGACTGCAGTATTGTGAGGATTAATTCAATCAACATAGTGTCATCCCATCTTTTTTTTTTTTTTTTTTTTTTTTTTTTGAGGCAGTTGGGATTATGTGACTGGCCCAGAGTCACACAGCTAGTAAGTGTCTGAGGTCAGATTTGAACTCAAGTCCTCGTGACTCCACATAGTGTCATCCCAAAACAAATATTGTACTAGAAACACTAGCTATAAAAATTAGTCAAGAAAAAGAAATTAAAAGAATTAGAATAAGCTGACAACATGATGGTATACTTAGAGAATTCTAAAGAACCAACTCAAAAACTAGTTGAAAAATTAACTTTGCTGAAGTTGCAGGATATAAAATAAACCCACATAAATCATCAGCTTAGTATTACCCACAAAGTTAAGTGTTGGTATAGATCCAGGAATCATCTGCATAGACATAAAAGTTAAAATCATGGGAGCTAATGAGATTCCCTGAGAAGCAGGGCAGAGGTTTTGTCAAGATAAACTGTCTGGTCATCGCAGACACAATTTTTCACCAACTCAAAAGGCGACGACTCCACACATGGACATCACCAGATGGACAATATAGAAATCAGATTGCTCATATTCTTTGCAGCCAAAGGTGGAGAAGCTCTATACAGGCAGTTAAAACAAAATCTGGAGCTGACTGTGGCTCAGATCATGAGCTTCTTATTGCAAAATTCAAATTTAAATTGAAGAGAGTAGACCATATCAGACCATATAGGTATGATATAAATAATATTCCTTATAAATATGAAATGGAGGTGATGAATAGGTTTAAGGGATTAGATCTAGTAGATAGAGTGCCTGAAGAAGAGCTGTGGCCAGAGGTTCACAAAAAAAATTCCAAAGAAAAAGACTATCTAGAAAGCAAATTGGCTCTCTTATGAAGCTTTACTGATATCTGAGGAAAGAAGGAAAGGAGAAAGGGAAAGATACATCCAATGAAGTACAGAATTCCAGAGAATAGCAAGGAGAGATAAGGAGGTTTTCTTAAAGGAGCAATACATAGAAATAGAAAAGAACAGTAGGATGGGAAAGACAAGAAAACTTTTCAAGAAAATTACAGATATCAGAGAAACATTTCATGCAAATATTGGGCATGACAAAAGACAAAAATGGTAGGGACTTAAGAGAAGCAGAAGAGATTAACTGGTGGTAAAAAGAGGGGGTAAGAATACACAAAAGAACTATACAAGAAAGATACCCATGATGGTATGTGTTGGTGGTAATCTAGAGCCAGACATCCTGGAGAATGAAGTCAAGTGGGCCTTCAAGCATTGCTAACAATAAGGCTAGTGGAGGTGGTGAAATTCTAGGTGAGCTATTTAAAATCCTAAAATGATGCGATTAAAGTGCTGCACTCAATATGCCAGCAAATTTGGAAAACAGTTGCCATTGAATTGGAAAAGATCAATTTATGTCTGAATCTTAAAGAACAGCAATGCCAAGGAATGTTCATATTACCAGTGTTCATTTCACATGCCACCAAGGTTATGCTTAAGATTCTTCAAGCTGGGCTTCAGTAATATGTGAAATGAGATTTATCGGAAAAGCAGGTTAGTGTTTTGTTTTTTGCTTTTTTTGTCTCTTTTTATTTTTTTTTTACCCCTTAATAGTATTGTGTTTTTTCCAATTATGCATAAAGATAGTTTTCAGTGTTCACTTTTATAAGATTTTGAGTTCCAAATTTTTTCTCCTTTCCCTCTCTCCTCCCCAAGACAGCAAGCAATCTGATATAGGCTATACATGTACAAACATATTAAATATATTTCCACATTAGTCATGTTATGAAAGAATCAGAACAAAAGCGGAAAACCACGAGAAAGAAGAAAAAGAGAGAGAAAAAAGTATACTTCAATCTGCATTCAGACCCCATAGTTCTTTCTCTGGATGTGAATAGCATTTTCCAAAAGACTCATGTTTTTTGGAATTGTCTTAGATCAATGTATTGCTGAGGAGAGCTAAGTCTGTCAAAGTTGGTCATCATACAATGTTCCTATTACTATGTGTACTATATGATATTCTCCTGGTTCTACTCACTTCACTCAGCATTAGTTCATGTAAGCCTTTCCAGGTTTTTCTGAAATCCACTGAGCAGTCTGGTTTTTGAAGAGGCAGAGGAACTAGAGACCAAATTGCCAGTATTCACTAATTATGGAGAAAGTAAGGAAGTTCTAGAAAAACATCTACTTCTGCTTCACTGACTACACCAAAGCCTGTGTGGATCACGCCAAAATGTGGCAAGTTCTCAGAGAGATAGGAGTACCAAATCATCTTACTTGTCTCCTAAGGACCCAGTATACAAGCTATGAAGCAATAATTAGAACCAAACATGGGACAACAGATTGGTTTAAGATTAGGAAAGGAGTATGACAGGGTTGTATATTGTCACCATATTTATTTAACTTATATGCAGAGTATATCATGTGAAATTGTGGCTGGATGAATCAAAAGCCAGAATTAAGGTTGCTGGGAGAAATATCAACAATCACAGATATGCAGATGATAGCACTCTGATGGCAGAAAGTGAAGAGGAATGAAGAAGCCTCTTCATCAAGGTGAAAGGGCAGAATATAAAGGTTGGATTGAAGTTTAACATTAAAAAACTAAGGTCATGGCAACTGGTCCCATCACTTTCTAGCAAATAAAGGGAGAAGAAATGGAAACTGTCAGATTTTATGTTCTTGAGCTCAACAGTAATTGCAGATGGTGACTGCAGCCATGAAATTTAAAGATGCTTGCTTCTTAGAAAGAAAGCTATGGCAAATCTGGGCAGCATATTAAAAAGCAGAGACATTGCCTTGCTAACAAAGGTCCATATAGTCAAAGCTATGGTTTTTCCAGTACCAGTGTATGACTGTGATAGTTGAACTGTAAGGAAAGCAGCACACCATAGAATCAACGCTTTTCAATTGTGGTGCTAGGGAGAAGACTTTTGAGAGTCTCTTGGACAGCAAGGAGATCAAAGCAGTCAATACTTTTTTTTTAATTATTTATTTTTGGTTTTCAACATTCACTTCCATAAGATTTTGAGTTTTAAATTTTCTCCCCCTTCCTCTCTTCTCCCCCCCCCCCCAAGATGGTGTGCAATCTGGTATAGGCTCTACTTACATTCATATTAAGCATATTTTCCCATTAATCATGATGAAAAGAACAATTAGAACTAATGGGAGGAAGCAAAAGAGTGAAGGAATAAAACAAAATAATGAAGGAAAAGGAGGGCAAATGGTATATTTCCATCTGCATTCAGACTCCATAGTTCTTTCTCTGGATGTGGATAGCATTTTCCATCGTGACTCTTTTGGAGTTGTCTTAGATTCTTGCATTGCTGTGAAGAGCCACGTCTATCAAAGTCAGACATCACACAGTGTGGCTGTTACTGTGTATGTTGTTCTCCTGGTTCTGCTCATTTCATTCAGCATAAATTCATATAAGTCTTTCCAGGTTTTTCTGAAGTCTGCCTGCTCATCATTTCTTATTCCATTATATTCGTATACCACAACTTGTTCAGCCATTCCCCAATTGATGGGCATCCCCTCAACTTCCAACTTTTGGCCACCACAAAAAAGAGCTGCTATAATTTTTTTTTTTTTTTTGGTAGGGCAGTTGGGGTTAAATGACTTGCCCAAAGTCACACAGCTAGTATGTCTCAAGTGTTTAGTCTGAGGCCGGATTTGAACGCAGGACCTCCTGACTTCCGGGCCGGTGCTCTATCCACTGTGCCACCTAGCTGCCCCTATAAATATTTTTCTAGATGCGAGTCCTTTTCCCATTTGTATGATCTCTTTGACATACAGATCTAGAAGTGGTATTGCTGGGTTAAAGGTTTTATAGCCATTTGGGTGTAGTTCCAAATTGCTCTCCAAAATGGTTGGATCAGTTCACAACTCCACCAACAATGCATTAGTGTTTCAATTTTCCCACATTTTCTCCAACAGTTATCATTGTCCTGTTTTGTCATGTTAGCCAGTCTGATAGGTGTGATGTGGTACCTGAGAGTCATTTTGATTTGCATTTCTCTAATCAATAGTGATTTAGAACATTTTTTAGCTTTAGTTTCTTCTTCTGAAAACTGCCTGTTCATATCCTTTTACCATTTATCAATTGGGGAATTACCTGTATTCTTATAAATTTGATTCAGTTCTCTATATATTTTAAATCAGTCAGTACTTAAAAGAAATTAATTCAGACTGTTCACTGGCAGATCAAATGCTGAAGCTTAAATACTTTGGCCACATAATGAGAAGATGGGACTCATTGGAAAAGACTCTGATGTTGTGAAAGATTGGAGGCAAAAGGAAAAGGGGACAATAGAGGATGAGATGGATAGATAGTGTCATTGAAACAATGAACATGACCTTGGAGAGATAGTGGGGAATAGAAGGACCTGGCCTGCTGTGGTCCACGGGGTCACAAAAAGTCAAGACACGACTGAACAACAACAACGGCATCACTAAGCTATAAACATAGCATAGAGGGAGAAAAAGGCCTTGGACAGACCATAGAGATAATTCCAGCTCATGTGACATCTCTTGGCAAGTGTGAAGGCATACAAAAAACTTGATAATTCTCTCCAAATGTAACATAGACTCAGAGACTTCATTGAAAAGATGGCCATAATGTCCTGCAAAGAAGAGAAAAGAGAAGATGTCCTCACTCAGTTGTTTGACAAAGGTGGGAGGTTCACAGATGTTGCATATATTTTCAGATTTTTTTCACTTATTGATCAATTTTGTTGACTTTTTCCCTGTTCTTTCTCTTCTTTTACCCTTTTTTTTTAAAGTATTCTTTGTTGTATGGGATTGCTCTCTGGGAAGGGGAGGGATTCTAGGACAAATTTTTGTGATATAAAACCAAAAGAAACCAATAGGAATTTATTGAAAAGAAAAGAGAAGGTAGACCTAGAAGAGGGTAACAAAAAGTATGTTGGAAAACGTTCAGGAGTAACAAATGGAAAGGATTACATATTACACAAGGAGTTTTTAACCTTTTTTGTGTCTCATCATGGACCCCTTTGGTAACCCTGTGAAGACTTAGATTACTGTGCCTACTTTCATAACTGAAGGAAATGTTAAATTTTAGTTGGAAGTTAAAGATATCGTTTTTCTCGCATCTGAATTCATAGACCCCCTGCAGTCTATCCACAGACCCTTAAGGGGGGAGAGTTCCCCAAGTTAAGAACTCCTTGAATTATAGAGAAACCTCATACCTATATATCATCAAAACATCCTTTAAGAAAATTGAGAAGCAATCAACATGGCAAATGTGAAATAACATAAAAATTAAATCAATTATATTTTAATAGACCAAATACCTACATGGTTACCTATGTGAAAATAATTTCTGAACAGTTGTGTACAATCAGATCATCTACTTGTTGTAGGACAAAGATCAAAATCAAATGCCAGATTAAAAGAAAAATCAAAACTACATGTGTCATGCAGTTGAAGCATTGCCATCCTGTTCTATTTAAACAAGTTTTTGACACTGAAAATGGGAAGTGAATAAAGAAACAGACATTGACAGAGAATATCACCATCAAGGAATTTCAAGCAATGTAAATTGATTGTCTCAAAGAAAAAAGAAAACCTAACAATTGAAGTTTTGCAAACAGCAAACACTTGACCTCCTTGCCAACTGGGGGGATGTGGCAGCCAAAGGCAATACCATTTTAGGATACAAGCTCATTTTAAAAATTTGCAGAAGGTGGAGGAAAAATCATGGGAAATATCTCATTAAAAAAAATGAAAAAGAATGGAGGGAAAGGCAAGTTTACAGAAAGCTTGATGAGAGACCCAATTAAACAAAATCATTCCAAGGGTTTTTAAGGATAAAACCTGAAGACAAGACAGTGAACAGATGAAAAATGGAAATGATCTGCAAACATTTCTGTGACAAACTCTTTTCTCTATCAACAACGGAACCCCCCACCATATAAGGAAGTAGAAGTGACATTTAAGAAAAAACAGATGAGAAAAAAAACTGGACTGAACCGAGTATCTATAAGGTCTGTGCTGGAGATAACCTCAATTTTTATGATATGTTGGTATTGATTCTCAAATTTTATGAAAGACAGGATGGTAAAAAAAGATGTGGACAGGAAATGTCCACATCTCAATACCAAACTATATACCTGCATTCTTATCTCTACAAAAATAATTATGATAATAATCTAGACCTTCATTTAGATATTTCTTAATGAAAGCATGAGAACGGAGCAGGCAGGCCTTTGCAAACATTGTCTTGATTCTTTAAAGTCATACAATTAGCAGATACATGTAGAAAAAACAATATTCTACTCTCGTTTATTGCTTGTTGACAATAAAAAGCATTTGATTTGGTAGCGCAAAGGACTATCTTAAAAGCTCTCATTTAATGAAGTTTCTCCCATGCACACATAAAACTGACATAAAAATCTTCAGTAGAATTTCATAAGAAGAATGTCTGAAACAGGGACATGTATGCTTACTAAAGGTGTTTGCAACAGTCATAGAAGGTATCCAGCACAAAATGATGATGGATTCTCTATAGATGGTGAGACACTCCAAGTGTTCCTGTTTGTGGGTGACATGCCAATTGAAATTAAACCCCAGAATATTGCAGATCCTTCTAAATAAGATCCAGAATCATTAGAAAGAATGTTCTTTAACTATCCACATAAGAAAAAGCATATGAAGAATCTTTGTTTTACAGACAATGATATATAATTGGATGGACAATCCCATAGTGCTGATCTATCAGTATGTGTATCTTAAATGAACAGTAGGAGAGAAGGCTTTTTTGCTTTTGGGAACTATACATTGTTTTTAGGGACCCAACCTTCTTTTTTCAACAAAAACTAACCTTTGAGTCAAGTCAGGTCAGGTCAGTAAGTATTTATTCAGAGCCTATCCCAAGCTTTGTGCTATGCACGGGGGATACAAAGAAACCCCTTAAGGAATTCACAATCCACTCATGGATAAAGAGGATATGTCTCCAAGATAAATTGGAGATAAGCTCAGTAGGCACTAGCACTAAGAAGGATTAAGAAAAGTTTCTTTCCAGAAGATGGGTTTTTAGCTGAGACTTGAAGGCTAGTGGGGGAAGCTAGGAGTATAGGTGACAAAGGAGAGTATTCCAAGCATGAAAGATAACCAGTGAAAATGCAGTTGGGAGATGGAGCATCAAGTATGATAAAGGGCAAAGAGGTCAGTGTCACTGGATTGTAGTACATTGAGGTTAATAAGTTATAAGAAGACTAGAAGGATAAGGAGGGGTCAGGTTATGAAAGACTTTAAAAACCAAATAGAGGATTCATATTTGACCCTAGAAGTCATAAGGAGCTACTGGACGATTTGCAGGAGGACATAGATAAGAATTGTACAAGGTGAAAAAATGTGGATGAATTGTGATTTGAATCATTGGAGGGAATAGCCACATAAGTGAGATCATCTGTTAATTTCAAAGTCTTCTAAAGAATAGTCACATGGTTATTCTGTGTTTATTTACATGTTCCCCCAGTAGAATGTAATCTTCTTGAGGTAAGAGGCTTTCATTTTTGTCTTTGTATTCCTGGCACTTAATACAGTACCTTGCACATTAAAGTAGGAGTTCAATAAATGTTTATTGAATTAATGAAAATTGATTCTGTAAATATACAGGGAATTTTGTCTGATAGATTATAGACTACATGAGAATAAGGATGGTCTCATTTGTCTTTGTATCTCCCTCACTATGTAACAAAATGAATTCTCAATACTAGGCATTAATAAATGATTGAGTGAATAAATATAAAGACCTATGAGACTGACATTTTTTATATAAAAAAGTTCCTATGATGTTAGGAGTTTGATTAATTTCATCATTAAAATAAATTATAGAATATGCATTCCATGAATCTCCTAGGTACACATTAACTCTTTTTCTTTTTATATAGGATATAGTAAATACTCATCCTGGTTTATCATTTTTAAAGGAAGCATCTGAATTTCATTCTCGTTATATTACCACAGTAAGTATTTTTTGTATGAAAAATTAACATTTTTCCATTTAGTATTCAGTATCATCATGTAAAACAATTATAAAGAAATTATGAAGGAAATAAGACTTTCAAAGGCAAGAACCTCCTAACCTTAATTTTTAGGTGCTGAGCTTTGTAGGACTTAAAATTGAATGCTACTTATAGGTTGTCCCAGAAGTCTTAGTGCAGTTTAAGCTATTAAAGGTTAAAACTGCACTAAGACTTGAAACATCTTGTTTTATGAAATGAGTAGGAAAATGCCCTTAATTTGAGTTAAACTGTATTTCCTATGCAAGACAAAGACTTGGCAAATTCAAGTACTTTTCTTTTAGTGTGGTTTTCAGAATATCAAGATAAAATCTCAATTTCTGGTGTGTGATGAGTAAATGTATATTAAAACTATTAATGTGTTATTTCAGAGCACAAATTATAATTGACAATCTATTCTTGTTAATCTAGTTTATTTAGTAATTTGTGGTTTTCCTGTTTAGAAAAATTTAGTTTCTAAACTGTTTTTGACTACTTCTAATTTTGAAAGAAAGCATGGCATAGTGAAAAGAACACTGGATCTGGAGTCTGAGAACCTGGATTTGAAAACTAGCTCTGCTACTTATATTGTGTGACTTTGGTCAAGTCACTTATGCTCTATGAACCTAAGTTTCCTTATCTGTAAAATAGAGTTCAATTTGACAGCCTGTGAGTTCTCATTCAGTTCTATGTAATACGATGATTTTAATGTGAAGATGCCTTGACAGTTTGCCTAACCTCTAATCCAGATGCAGTCCTACTGACCATGAGAATTCTACCCTCTACTGAATTCATGAAATCTGACATTTGGAAATAAGTTACAGTCCTTTTGGCCATCTTTCAACTAAGATCTTGATTTAGGCGATTCATCAGTTTCATAATTAAGTTTCATACTAGCTCCCATTAGTTCTACCTCATTTCTGGTGTAGTAGCTTTATTACAGTCAAATATGGTGAAAGTACAAGATATTGGGCACATAAGCTGTGATGTACTTTTTTATGTCAGTAAAGTAATGTCTCCCCACAAAATAAAAAAGGTGATTTATGTGGGAGCTGATAGCTAGCAAATAGCTACCAACTGAATATATTTTAATATGCAATTATTCTACAAAAACAGGATTGTATTCCAAAAGTTCACTTTTAAGTTTATTGGAATTTGAAATGTATTTCCCCAGGGAAATAATATTATAAATGGTGGTTAGATTCCTAAGCCAACCCACAAAAGCCATAATGTTTTCATAACATAGTATTGTACTAATAATACCATAGAACCTAACCTTCTCATATAATGTTGTTTCTGTGAGAAAATGTTTTGAATTTCAACTTGAAATGCCAGTAACATACCCATTGCCCTTACCCTCCCCCACACTCTCTCCCTAACCAGTTCAACCCCCAATGTGGAGTATTCCATAATTCATTCTTTCTACCTCCACATTGCCTGGCAGTGGGAACAAGGGCTATCCCTAAATTCACTGGTGATGGCCATGTTTGAAGGTTCAGGAGGTGAGGAGAAGGAACTGAGGAAGAGAGTAATAGGCAAGAATGAAGGTTTCAGGCAATGAGCATCTATTAAGCACTATTCATTGCTAGTTACGGTGCTAAGCATGGAGAGTACAAATACAAGTAAAAAGAAAGACAGCCCCTGATGTCAGGGAGCTTACATTCTAATGGGGGAAGATAATACATAAAAGGGAGAAAAGAAAGGTGAGGACAGGGAGGAATAGGTATCCTTTTGGGAGCATGATAGCAAAGTTTGGAGAGTTATAAACACGACTAGGAGAAAAATGAAGCATGGCCACCCAGGGCCCATCCTCAAAAATGGAAGCTGTGGAAGGAACTCATCAGTGGAAGAAAGGGGCTAGCATGGCAGAGAAATGTTCCAGAAGAAGGCTTCAGGTGTTGAGGAAAGTTCCAGGATGAGAATGCAGCTGAGGCATGATGAAGAAACTGAGAGTCATAAGCTGGGTGGTGAGCAGGGCGTCTGTAGTGTAAACCCTTGGGGATACTAGGATGCTGAGTTATTTCAGTCCAGTTCTCTTTCTTCCCCTTCTGTTTTGCTATGGGTCTCAAGAAGGGGACTTTCCACTGTTACTGTTTCTTGTTTCTATCACGATATTGCAACCTCCACCCCCACCTTCAAGACAGGAGGTTTCATAGCTTTACCCCCCTACCCTTCTGGTTCCAAAGTAAACACATAACACTTTTGAAGTTTCCTCTTGTCTTTTACTGCTAGTGGCAGTGGAAAATATATGTGATGAAAAGAATACCTCCCGTATGTGCTTTCTTTTTTTTCTCCCCATGTAATATAACAAAGGACAAAGGTACACATAGGTGATTATGGTGGATCTTTGGATATATAAGATAAAGTAAGATTAATCTCCATTTCAGAATACCCAAACTTGTGCTATCTGGGATATCCTCTCATAGGAGTTAGAAAAGGGGTAGTATGGGGTCAGGAATCACAGGCATTTTGGAAGGAGGTAGGCAGTACCCTTTCTGGGCTGAGATAGGCCAAGAAAGTTGCTGAAGAGTCCATTGCCAGCACTGGGATTGGGGTTCAGATTCTGGTAGTAGAAAGAAAGAGGAATAGCTATGGGGAATTTTTCATGTTCCTCCTTTGTATTTCCTTCATAAAGTCTGCCATGTAATGGCACTAGAGTGAGGTAAACAGTAGGTACTAGAAAGACAGAGTAGCCCCAGACTGAAGTGGAATATGGAGGGGAGGGAAAGCCCAAACCACAGTAGTGAAAAAGGAAGGAAAATGCTCATGGCTACTTAGCCTTTAGAAATGTTTGGAAGATGAATAAATATTGTTACATAAACACATAATTAAACTCAATAAATTCCTAGTTTTTAAAGTACTACTTCCAGTGTAGTTAGACTTTTTGATGATGATTTCTTCTCTCTTCTGCTTTTGACTGTTTTAATATACATTCCCTCTCAGCACAGGAGAAGCAGAAGAAGGTAAATGAGCTGACACTATGAGTTAAAGTAAGATGCCTTAATTTAACAACATTCCTTTCTCCATTAAAACACATAAATCAGCATTTTAAAGGCTTTATGGAATGTATATTTAGGACTTCTTTTTATAGGTGGTTCCTTATTATTATTATTGCCATTATTGTCATCATCATCATTGTCATTTATTGACCTTTGCTTCCTATTCACCACAGGTGCTTTTCATCCAGTCTTCGGCTTCTTTTATTTTCTATAGCTTACAAAGCCTATTATTTGTGATGTTCCTTTATGTCCTGTTACCTAGGATGGATATCATAAACCTTAGAGCACTATAAATATGTGTTGATATCACATATGATCAGTTCTTATTCAACTGCATAAACAATGCAACATGAGACTAAAATTAATTTACACATTTCCTATTGCTTTTATAACCTAGATTTTAAAGATAAAGATATTGTCTCAATTGGCAACATTGTTACATCTTTTTTAGGTCTTAAAATAGCTAAATGACATAATGACATGTGGATAACATGTTCTAAGGCCTAAGCCAGTTAGAAAATTATGGCACTGCAAGTTAGGAATTATTTTACCCCCTTACTGTAAAAACTGAAGTAAATTTAATTTCTACAGGAACTTTTTTTTTTTTAAAATATGTTTGTCAGTCAGCTTCAAGGTTCAGATCAATACCAGATTTTCTTGTCATGCAACTGGAAGTTTTGTTTTTTAACTCTACTACATTGTCTTGTGAATAAAACAGCAATAACCATCTTATAAGAACTTTTGATCTTAGTACTAAAGTCACAAGGTAAGATATGTGAGCATTTCTTAGTTCTTGTGGTTATATTTAGCAACATTTTTTATTTACATGCAAATATTAAAGAGAATGCATGTTTATACCTATGTTTTATAGAGACCTTAAAACAAGTTAAATGGTTACAGAAGAACAGAAGGTCAATATAAGTACTGTACCATTATCTGAGATCTAGATTTTTAAAAATCCTACTTACATGATTCTTCCAGTTTTTAAAGACAGCCCATTTTAATCAAAATACAGCAATGCTCATTCAGCTTAACACAATTATTGTTACTTGTTGCAGGTTATACAGCGGATTTTTTATACAGTAAATAGGTCCTGGTCTGGAAGAATCACTTGTACTGAACTGAGAAAAAGCAGTTTTTTACAGGTATATTTCCTTTTTATGAGGATAATAAATGTAGTTTCTACTAATTCAGAAAACTTATTGATATCTTAAAGCCTATAGAATTTTGTACTGCTATCAATTTTAAATCTGTAAATTTTTTCATGGAAATTAATGGCAGCTGTTTCATATCACCATCTTTTAAAATACTAAAGTAGCAATTCAGGTTAATCATTTATTATTTTGTATTGGATGCCAAGACAGACTCTTTTAGAGTTCAAAATCAAGCAATCTTAGCTAACTAAACTATTTTTTAGTTCTCAGAATTTTCAAATACAAAAGTTTAGTTTCTTGTTAAAGTAAATGCTATGCCAAAACTCTTTGAGATTCAGATTTAATCTCATCTGTTATCAGGGGCCACAAGTATCTTTCAGCTTAAAAAAATTCAGGTTATATAAATTCTATGTTCGTTTACCTTGACAAGTGCAAGTACTAAAATATATAATCAAGAACATAAAAGAACCCAGTCATCAATCAATTATTGTCCTTACTGTGTGCCAGACACTGTGCCTAGAGTACACCTGCCATGGAGATACAAAGGCAGAAGTCAAACAGTCCTTGCTCTCAAAGAAGATAATCTCAGAGGAGAAGACCCTAGTAGGCTCAGGGAATCCAGAAATACCTTCTACAGTGTCCCTAAGTAAAAAGGAAACAGGCAAAAGTAAGGAGAAGCATCACACGCATCGTGGACAGCCAGTCCAAAGGCATGGAGGGTTAGCGGTGATGAACATCATGACCCATCCTAGCTGGAGTATACAAAATTGACTTCCCCCCAAAAGAGACTCTAACCGATTGTACATGTATCTGTAAATTTGCTTATCATTTTTCGACCTCAACTTGAAGAATGTGGCATCTGCATTGTCCTTTTTATGATCCTTTGTTTCCTTTTTTTCTCTATATTTAACATGGATATAACACTTAACTTGTTGCTATTAATTGCATAGTTGACAGTGTGTATAATGTTCTTTTCTCTGTTTTCATCTTTTAAGAATTCAGATACTTCTTTAAATTCTTCATGATCATTTCTGATACTGCAACAGTGTTCCTTTAAATTCATGTGATAATTTGTCCAACCATTCCCCAATCATTGGAAATACAGCCTACTTCCAGTTTTTTGCTGTTAAAAATAAAGCTGCAAGAAATATTTCAGAGAATTCCTTTTTTCCCCCTATCAATGGGAAATTAACAATAATCTCTTTGGAATACTGTCCCTATAGTCTGATTACTGAATCAAAAAGTATATAACTCCTGCTGAATAAATGGTTCCATATTACTTTCCAAAAAGACTGAACAAATTTAAGTTCCAACAGCAGAATAATGTTTTTGCTTTACAATAGCTGCCCCAGCATTGAATTTTCTTTGCTGATTTGATGAATATCATTGAAGAATCTTGGAGTTGTTTCATTTCTCCAATTATTAAAGATTTTGAACGTTTTTTCATGTGGTTGTTTACTTGGTTTTTTTTTTTTCTGAGAACTCCCTTGCCAGATGTCTTAATGGATTATTTTTTCCTCAACAGAATGTTGCACTATTGGAAGAAGAAGCTGATATTAACCAGTTGACAGAGTACTTCTCTTATGAACATTTTTATGTCATTTATTGTAAATTTTGGGAACTAGACACTGACCATGATCTTTTTATTGATCCAAAGGACTTAGCCCGACATAATGACCATGGTAAGACAAATAGCAGATCTGTAAATATAGTCATACAGTATTCACACTTTGTATGCTGTGGCAAGTCACTGCGTTTGTATGGCAAACACAATCCAGGACAAATCCTAAAAAGAGACTTCCTATCATGATTCCATTATTGTTTACTTAGGTAATTTTGCATTGCTTCTGCTCTGAGTTTTATAGTAAACCTGCTATGGAAATATCTTCTCCAAACACTAGATTTTCTAGAATTCATAGCTCCTTTTGTTTCTCCTATGGTATACAATCCCAAAAGCATATATTATAATACAGCACATAGACGATATTATTAAAATGTATAAACAGTGTTACCATTTTACTGTACTTAAAAAATTCAGAGTACAAACTGTTTACAAATCTAGTAAATTGTAGTTGTATTCACAGTTTCACATTACAAGTTTAAGTTGTCCTGACACAAAACATTCATTAGTATTATTCTTATCTTTCTTATTTAACTCACTTCGAGACGTTTGTCTTTTCTTTTTCCTGTCCTTGGTTAATTCCTACCTTTTTTGTTAATTCACTTTTCCAAGGCTCAGTTAGTATTAACTCTCTCAGTTATTGGAGAAACCAAGTATTTATTTTATCTGGGGCTTGAGGTCCTCTACTCTTAGATATTTTTTTTTTTAAATTAACCTCATTTCCCCCATTACACTGAGTCTTTGCCTATAGAAGTCCTTTCTTCAAAAAAGTCTTCTTCCTTCAGCATATATATCACCCTGTTTAGCTCTTCCAAGCTGATCTTATTTTCTAAGACTTAACCATTCACCAGTGTCTTTCACTTAAAGTTTCCTAGTTTCTTATCCTTCTGTTTATTCTACTCATTCCCAAATTCTTCATACCTTCTTTTCCTATTATTTCCAATCTAGTCTTCTAATTTCTTATCATAGATAGTTCATTTCTCAGTCTGGTCTGTTCCAAAAAGTTACTTATTGAATACTTTCTCTTAGACTTTGTTGCTGTGGCAGATTGGCATAGAATATTACTGGATGTCCAACACACGCAAATTTGTATTCCTTTTACCTGTCAGTCATAATTGCAATATAGCATTCCAGTAGATTAATTTATTCAACCATTCACCTGTTGTTGGACATTTAAAATATTTCCAGTTTCCATCTGCAAGGGAGTTCTCAAAAGAAAAAACACAGAATTATCCAGGGAGCTTTTTCAGGGATATCAATGTTATATGATCTACAACTCACTTATGTTTTAGCTTCTGTCACCAAACAGCTTGGATATTCTTAACCCATGCGATATTTGGAGAGAATTTTTTTTTTTTAAATTTGCCTGTACCAGGTATTTGAGTCTATGGTTACATTCATTCCAGGATCATGTTATAATAATTAATTATAGTTTTAAATAAAATATGCATTCTTATATTCACATATTGGAGTGTCTCCCATGTAGTAGACACTTAGTAATGGTTGTTGAATCAGACTGTAGCCGAAACATCTTTTTATTTTTTGGGGGGGGAGGTATTTTACCTTCCATATCATTGAATTTTAACAATTCATTTTATTTTAATTTTTGCAGTGTAATGCATTCCTGAAACAATTGTGTGTATGTCAAATCATATTTTAGACTCTCTAGAGAAGCTTGAAATTTAAATTAAAGACAAGAATCATATTGGAATCTTCATTAAAGCAATAATTGTGATTTATTTTTTGTGTAAATTTAGATTTTCCACATACCATAGCCTGTTAGAACTAAAAAGAACATTAGTAATCACTTACTGCATCCATTCATTTTATAGATGAGGAAACCAAAGCCCAGAGAGGTATAGCAATCTTCCCAAAGTTACTTAGATTTCTTTAAAATGAGCAGAGGCAGTGTGGTATATGGGAAAAAATCCTAGCTTTAGAGTCTTCAAACCTGAGTACAAATCCTGGTTCTTTGATTTTACATCTTTGTGACCTTGAGCAAGTCACTTAACCTCTCTGCACCTCAGTTTCCTTATCTGTAAACTGAAGCAGTTAGACTAAATTACCTTTTAAGTCACTGCAGCCCTAAATCTAGGATCCTGTGAGTCCAAGTACACCTAGAGTTAATGCTAGCTCTAGCTCACACTATTTTAAACTGGCAAATGCTACAAATCATGGTTTGATTTATAGTTTATTGATTGTCTAGACTTAAGAAAGAGATAGAAAAATGTCAATAATGTATGTTAACCTTAAAAGTGTGTTAAGTGTACATTTTTTTCAGAGAGCTAGTTATTAAACATTTGCTAGCATGCCTCTATTATAAATCCAGCTTCATGGGATGATTTCTTAAATACACTTTTAAAAAACCTTTTTTCATGTAACATTTGTCAAAATGCTATAAACTCCTTTGAAACAACTTTAGTTTTATAAAAAATTATGTATACTGATTTATATGCATTATCATATATTTTAATGCAAATTTAAGATTCTGAATATTAAAATTAAACTTCAAATATACTCCCACATCTGAATGCCAAAATTACTTTGTATCTCATCTCCCATTGTACTTTTACTTTGTACCTTGTATTTTAGGCACCCATATATATGTTATTTCCCCTAGTAGACTGTGTTCTGTATGAGACGAAGACTGAATCTGGCACATGGTGCCAGATTTACATAAGTAAATATTTGTGAATGAATAAATATTGTTTGTAGTGTAGTCTTTTATTTGTATAGCAACATTTCTCACAATTTGTAACTTTTTTATTGAACCTATAAAATATACTCTCCTACTAAGATAAAATTTCTCTAGCTTCACAGTATCTCCCATGAAATTAATCCTGAAGAATTAAGGGAGTCCACACAATCTTCTGAATGCTTAGTACTTAGCTGATTCCTTAGCTATTAGTGAAGGAACTTCAATAATTACCTCTTAGAAGAGTTGTGTTGGTTTCCTGTGATGGTAGAATTCCATTATTATGCATTTCCCCAACGTTTGAATTATGTTTAATGATTATATTAAATAATTATGAATAATATCTCATTAATTTCTCTTTTTGTTTTTTTCCTGATTTTTAAAAGCTTTTCATCAAGTTCTCAGAAAAGTGTGACAGCAAATCTCTCTGTTTTCTATAATGACCCAGAATAAACGACAGTGGAAAATTGTCTTTTAAAAAAAAAATCAGAATTAATATGGGCCAATAGCAGCCAATTATTTCATTTGGGGGGAATTTACCCCAATAGTATTATGAAAAAACAAAGCCTATCCATTCAAAAATTCTCATGGCTACATTATATGTAAATACAAAACAAAAAAATTCCATCCTAAATGTCTAGCAATAGGCAGTTAAGTAAGTGTAGCTGAATAAATTAATATGATTAAATATTGTAATTCAGTTAGGACTGATAAGTGTGAGAAATACAAAGAAATCTGGAGGGAATTTTAATGAACTAATGTAAATAAGGAAAAAAAGGGAATACTTACTAGCTATAACCATCTAAGAGAAAAAGTGAATGAGAATGAATGAGCAAAGAGTCTTAATTAGAACTTTGAGAGAGAGAGATTAAGCAATTGGTATGAAACATTTAATTGAAATTTAAGTTTTTTAAGCAAAACAGTTTTAAAAAATAAAAATTAAATTTAAAAAGAAATGCAATAATAATAGCATTTTTATAGGATTTTAATGTTTGCAAAGCACTTTAAAATACTATCTCATTTTATCCTCTCAACAACCCTGGGAGGTAAAATGTTGCCATTTTTATTTTACAGATGAGGAAACTGAGGCAAACCTTCGCCCATACAGAATGACTTGCCCAGGGTCACAGAGATAGTAAATGTCTGAGGCAGATCTGAATTTTAATCTTCCTGCACTCTATTCTTTTTGCTACCTACTTAACTTCATAGTGTAGGCTGTTAAAACTGCGATCTATACTATTTTACCTTACAAATAGTACAATAGAAAAAAATTGATGAAGATTTAGAAAAACTGATTTTAAACCCAATACATACCACTTACTATGTGACTTTGATCAAGTCACTTAAAATCTCTGAACTAGTCTCCACACTGTAAAATGGTTCTAATAAGAAGACTGATGACTGTAGCAGCAGAGAAGCAGGCAGTAAACTTTTAGCCTTAATTTTCTTATCTTTCAAAATGTAATATGTAAAGTTCTAAAACAATATCATCATCATAATCAATTGCTTTCTGAAAACTTATGATGTAGCCGAAAATTATAAATTAACTTATTTTTTTACAGCTATATCCAGTAGGATGATTGAGAGAATATTCTCAGGAGCTGTAACAAGGTAAGTCTAGTGTGTTTTAGCTTTTAATATTTAATTCTGTAGTTTCAGGTACTTCAGGTTTTCTTTTTAAAGGTACATAACTTTCAAATTCTTAATAATTTACTGTTAATAAAATTTTTTAATTTTTTGGTGTGGAATACATAAGGGAACTTAATATAAGCTTTTTTGTAAGTAGGTGGAATTTTTTTTCCAAATTTGTTTTTGAAAAGTGTCAGATTAAAAAGACGAGATCTGTTAGAGTACATTTATTACCTCTAAAGATATCTGTGATCTTTCGTAACAAATAAATAATTTTACTACTACTTTGTTACCTTACCCTAACCTAAACTCAGTTATTTTCGCAACTCTCTTATTTATGCCAATGAGAGAAAGCTACCACTGTAGATTTTTTGGGTATGATTAAAATTTAACCCAGTAGTGCCACCATTTTTCCCCACTGGATTTCCTTCTGTTCGCATCAGTTTTTTTTTTTTTTCTTAAGATTTATTGACACTCTTTTCTTCCTTTCCCATACATACCTCCCCAAGTCTCCCCGACTGCAGCCACCTACCAAAAAAACACAAAGAACAAAATGCTGGTATATATTTGTACACATAAGTTCTTTCCCTCTTTATTTGATCTCTTTACCTAGTAGTGGTTTCACTGGGTTGAAGGGTATGCACAGTTCAGTGACTTTTTGTTGTTGTAATTACAACGTGGAATAATAATTCTACATGTAATTCCAAATAGCTTTTCAGAATGGCTGGACTTCTTCACACTCCAGCAACAGAGCATTAATGTACATGTCCTTCCACATCCCCTTTAACAATTGTTATTTCTTTCTCTCTCTCTCTCTCTCTCTCTCTCTCTCTTTCGGTCATTTTTGGAAGTGGAACCTCAGAATTGTTTTAATTTGTGTTTTCATATTATTATTTTGTTTGAGCATTTTGTCATGTGGTTGTTGATAGTTGGCTTTCTTCTTTTGAGAACAGTTTTCCATATCAGTTTAACACTTAGGTTATGGCTCTTTTATGCCAAATTATTTATGCCAAAACTTTTCAGTTTTCGTGTAATCAAAATTGACCTTTTTATCTCCTGTGAACCTCCCTATTCTTTGATCAAGAATTCTTCTCCTATCCGTAGTTAGAAAAGGTACCTCCTTACTTGTTCCTCTGATTTGTTTATATGACCTTTCATATATAGGTCTTTTATCCATTTGGCGCTCACTGTATTATATGGTGTGATATGTTGGTTTAAACCCAATTTCTGCCCAAACTGCTTTCCCAGCAGTTTTTATTGAATATTGAGTCCTTATGCCAGTAGTTGGCATCCTTTGGTTTATTGGACATTGTGCTGCTATGTTCCATTGTTTCTGTGTCTTAGGGTCCTAATCAGTTCCAGTGATCAATTTTTCTATCTTTTAACCAGTACCAAATAGTTTTAAAGATTATTGCTTTGTAGTATAGTTTGAGATCTGGTACTGCTAGACCCTCTTCTCATTTTTTTCCATTATTTCCTATTTCCATTTGGATTCCTGTCCTTTTCTTTTTCCCAGTGAATTCTGTAATTTTCCTTCTACAAAGTAATCTTTTGGTAATTTGGTATGACACTGAATCTCAAATTTATCTAGGTCATATTGTAATTTTTACTATATTTCAGTGGTCCAGCAATAGGTAGTTAATATCTCTTGTGAGCCAAGTCTCTCTCACAGCAGTAAATGGTTCAGGTTTGAGACTGGGAAAAAACATAGATGTTCGTAGACTATTTTGCAGCTAACAAAAACATTTACGTAGGAATAGCATGAAAAGTATATTTAACGAGGATATATAATTGATTCAGTTGAGTGCAACTCTCTTGCTTCTGTATTTGCCATCAGTGTTTGCTGGTCAGAAATATATGTCAGGCCTAAAAAACCAGTCACTACTCCTAGTCTACCCTCACCCCCTTATCATTAGAAAGTAAGGGACTGCCCAACAGTTAATGCCTTTGTCTACCAACCTTTCCATGAGAAGGAGTTTTCTGTTGAGCTTTGGGTAATATAGTGACAGCACTGTTGAGGGGCTTTATCAGTTCCAGATAAAACTAGGTAAGGAGCTATGATAGTCGATAGTCCTACTCAAGCTACTCTCCATGCAGTGCCTATTCTTCTGGGGCTCACATCACTATGCATTTTGCTGCTGCTGAGGCCTGCAGCACTACCTTTGCTTCTGCCTTTGAAAGTAACAATACTTCCCACTTTCCTACCTGTTGTTGCCGCAGCCAGAACTGTTGCCTGTTCTGCTTCTCTGGGGCTCCTATTGGTACCCAATTCTATTGGGGCTAATAACACTACACACTGTTGATTGGGTCTATTTGCCTGATTGTTTCCACTGGGGCCTATGATGCTGCTTTCTGTTTCAGTGCCTGTATGTTCTTCTGTTGTCCCCTTGTGTTAGGGCCAGGTATGCCTCGGTGCCCGAGCACTACTCTCTTGTGCTGCAGTCAGGCATTAAAATTCATAGTAATATCCATCTCAGTATCCCTTTTCACCCCCATATGCTTGGGGAGACACAAAACAGAATAGGTAGAACATGTGCTGTAGTTGCCATGTAGGAAAAGCTGTTATTTCTGTGAGGGTGGAGGAGAACACATGGGGTCTGTGGACTATTCCTTAAAGCCCTCAAACCAGTTTTCACTTTTTCCAGTCAGAAAAAGCATTACAGTTACAGTTCACAGTTCCAGAGCAATAGTGGGAATTGACTGTTGTTTTAAGTTGAGACAGCCCTTCTGTCCTCAGCCAATAAACTAGCATGCGTTTGTCAAATTTATCCACATCGCAGATTTTGGAAAGGGGTGCTGGGCACTGTAAGCACTGTCCTTTCAAGTACTTTCCCCTCTTCCAAATTTACCTTGGCTTTCCAGTCTCAGGTTTGTAAGCTTTAGCTTTATTCCTGGCTCCTCACTCTTAACGTAATCAGTTACCAGATCCTGTCATATTTTTTCCCATAAAATCTCTCACCTTTCCACTCATGTAGCTTCTGCCATGCTTCAGGTCCTCATTGCTTAAATTATTGCAGTGACCTCCTAATTAGTGTCCCTGCTTTGTTCTTCCCCACTCATGTCAGTCCTCCACACAGATGCCAAAATGATTTTCCATAAGAATAGGCATGACCATGTCAATTCCCTACTTAATACGTTATAGTGCCTTCCTGTTGCCTCTAGAATAAAGTATAAATTCTTCTATTTTGCTTTTAAAGAACTTAATTTGACCCAAACCCATCTTTCTACATTCATTGTACATTATTCCCATTCTTGAAACTCTGCAGTCCAGACAAACTGGCCTCTCTTTATCTGACATAGTTTCCATCTTTGTGCCATTGTACTAACTGCCCGAAATGCATCTCTCTCCTTACCTCTATCTTATAGAATTTCTCTCTTCCTTCAAGACACAGTTCAAGTACCACCTTCAACATGAAACCTGTCCTGATCTCTCGACCCTTCTCCTACCCTTCACCTCAACTGCTGGTGCCCTTGCTCCCAAACTACTTTCTATTTATTTGCATTTGTTCTCTTTAGTTAGTCTGTATGTATTTATATATGTACTTGTTATCTTCCCCATTCAAATATAAGCTCCTTGTGAGGAGTGATTATTTCATTCTTTTTCTTTGTCTCCAGTGCCAAGCAGAGTTCCTGGAACTTAATAAATACTTTTTGTGCATGACATAATATAATGCTTAATAAATATTTATTGATTCTTAAAATATATTCATATACATTCATAAAATATCATATAAAAAGTCCCAAGTAGTTCATTCAGTTATAATTCTTAAACAGTACCCAAATTACATTCTTTAGAGATCCATGCCCTACCACAGCTGGTGTGACTAGAAATCACTGTCACCCCCAAATACAAAAGTTGTGCAAATTTAGCATATGACTGTTTACAACATTTATCGTGTTTAGGTCATGATTATTAAGGACTCACAATTCATTCCGAGACCCACATCTCTAATCTCCAAATGCTCACAAAGAATTTACTCTATAATCCCGCATCGCAATATGTGCCAGACACCATTAAAAGCACTGCCAGAGACATCAATGCCACATAGTGCAGAACTTCTGTATCAGTGCCTGTGACCACTTGGGGCTTAACTCTCCCCATCACCCTTCCCCAACTTCATGGAGGTCAATCCAATCTAATCCTGGCCATTAAGAGCAAATGTTGTAGGCCATATCTGACCCAAACCAATTCAGTGGTGCAGGTTTGGGATTGGAACAAAATGAGATACCTGTAGAAAGTCTAGCAGTCCACAAAAAGAGGTGTGCTTTATAACAAGGAAGGAATATTCAGCACAAATATGTCATTGGTTCAGACAAGCATAGCTTCACTGCCTTCACATTTGCCCTAGGTGTGCATTAGTCAGCGGTGTATGTTAGGCCTAAAAGGACTCTTGTACTAAGGCAGACAAGAATCTATGTCAGTAGTGTAAGCTGAAGTTTCCTGAACAATTGAGTGTCAAGGGCAGTTTCGTTACCATTTAAGGAAAATACTAGCCTAGCAAGTATGGGGTAGTGTTACTCATATGACAGTATTGCTTCAGTTATTTAGGTGTATTTCTTTAAAAGCATTTTTCAGTTATAATCATATAGTTCCTCTGTGTGTCTTACTAGCTAGCCTTTCAGATTGTTTTGTTTTTTTGACATTCTGTAATTATTTTGAATGGAATTTTTTTCTGTATCTCTTCCTATTGAGTTTTATTGATGCTATTAGGATGGATTTATCCTGCTAATTAATGAAATTATCAGATGTTTCAAATCATTTTTAGTTGTCTCTCTAGAGTTCTCTAAACCATATCATCTCTAGAAAATGATAATGATGTTTCTTCTTCATTTATTCCCTAAATTTAATTTTCTTGTCTTATTGTTATAGCTGGCATTTCTACAACTTTATCAAATATTAGTGGTGACAGTACTTCCTTACTTTACCTCTGTTCTTATTAGAAAAACCTCTAATATTTCTTCATTATAGTTAATGTTAATTA